TGAGTTCCCCAAAACTCCGTGACACACGATTCCAGCGTGGGGTACCTGCCCAGTACTGCTGCAAAGAGCTGGGGAGTCTACTGGGTCCCAAATCGAAGGCGTCAACACCGTGATGCAGTTGCAAAAAAGGCAAATATCAGTCTGGGCCGTATGACTAGACGTGTCGCCTGCTGCACATGGGAGGTCACTGTCCTGCCCTCAGCTGTAGCCCTGCTCCCATTCTGGGCAGCTGTAGGAAAGCTGTGAACACGCTGGGGAGCAGCTTAGCAGCAAAGATGATCCAAGATTTAGAAAAGCTGACGCAGGAGACGAGGTACAAAACACCCGGGCACTTTTAGTCCTGAGGAAAGAAGGTTCAGCAGGGATCTGATAACAGTCTTCGAATCTGTTACCGGCTTTTGCAGAGAGGACAGCGATCAATGTTTCTCCCTGGGCACCGGAGGTAGGACAAGACGCGGTGGGTTTAATCTGCAGCCAGGCTGGTGTCATGGAGTGCGGGGGGACTCAGGGCCCTGCACCCCCGGCTTCCTGCGATTCACCAGGACTCTCAGCCAGCCAGTAAAGCAGAAGGTTTATTTAGACGACAGGAACACAGCCCAAGACAGGTCTCGCAGGCACAGACGACAGGACCCCCCTCAGATAGATCCATCTTGGGGTCCCAGGGCACCACAGCCCCCTTGGGGGGTCAGAGCCCCATCTGCCTCCCAGCCCTTCCACCAGCCAGCTCTGAAACTCTCTCCCCAGCGTTTGTTCAGTTTCCCGGGCCAAGGTGTCACCTGGCCTCTAACTCCTTCCTGGATTCTCACCGTTACATGCTCAGGTATCTTCCCTCAAGGTCAGTCTCTCCCATCCCCCAATGCAGACCGTCCTAGCCAACCTCCCCTGCCTTCCCAGCCAACACTCCCCGCTCAGCATTCAAAGACCACATTAAGAACAGTCCCAGTTCGTCACAGCTGGATATTAGGAAACCTGCCTAACTCCCTACGGAGAGAAGCTCTGTGAGAGGTTCCCAAGACGGTTGGGGAAGCCCCGTCACTGGAGGTGGACAAACCCGCATCAGGGCGGCTCTGGGTTTACTCACTCCTGCCTCAATGCCGGGCACCGGATGTGACTTCTCGAGGTCCCTCCCAGCCCCACCTTTCCGGGATTCAGCAGGAGCTCGCTTGCCCTGTCTCTCGCTCTGGGTCTGCCCAGCGCCACCAGCTGCTACTACAAGGGTGAACATCTGGCCCCTAGCACTCAGGTGGGGTGTGGGTCTTTACCTGCACTCTGCAGGGGGCTGCTTCTCACCCCTCCAGGCCTGGCTCTAGGGGGAGGAGGCCGTTCCCCACTGTTTCACCAGGGACTCACGCCCGCCCCAAGCGCCACCCACCCCTCTGCTCCCCGCCAGCCGCTCCCGCGTGCTGGTGCTGCATTAACAGCACCAGGCACGGCCACAAATCCGGGGACCCGCCCCTCCCTGATCTGACTAATAAATACGTTATTTGCAGGTTCAGAGTCAATAACAAGTTGGCTTCCCTGGCAGGAAGCGCCAGGATTAATTGCATTCAAATCGACTAGGATGGATTTGCTGCTCACCCTCCATTAGGAGCGACACAGACCCCATTTGCATGTCATTAGCGGAGGGAAGGGAACTCCTGCCTGGCTCTCCCCCTCCCCCCCCATCCTCTGAGCGTGTCCATGGCTGCACTGGACTTCCGGCTCAAAGCAGCCGGCTTCCAACATTTGCACGGGGCCGGAGAAAAAACACTGCAATTAGCGTGTTGGGAAGTGGGGTTAAGGACTTCCAGGGACGTGGGTATTTCCCAGGACAGGGAACGACCAAGTCACCACTCCACACCCATTCCTATGGTGCAGAGGCGAGGAGGCGCGCCGCGGCACACAGCTGCAAGGGGCAGTTGGGACAGGCTCCCCACCACCCTGAAGGCCGGGGGACTCGGCCAGCCGGTCCGTGCAGAGGCCGCGTAACCCCAGGTCTGCGTGCAGGAGCGAAGCCGAGTCTCTTACCTTTTCCATCAGCTGCCGGAGCTGCCGGCTGCGCAGGTCTCGGGAGCAGGTGCCCTGCACCGGGATGACCGCTGTGCAGAGGCATTTGCCATCGGGGGCTTGAGCGGAGGTGTAAACTTGCCAGCCGTCATCGGGGCTTTGGAAGAGAGTCTGCAACAGAGAGGGAGGAGACTTATCAGCCTGACTTACCCCACGGCTGCTGCGCGGCTTCAGAGCCTGTCAAAGGCTCTCTCGAAGTCCAAGGACACTCTGTGCACTGGATCCCCCTTTGGCGACCCCCTCAGAGAATTCGAATAGATTGGCGAGGAGCGATTTCCCTTTACAAAAGCCGGGATCTCTTCCCCACCACACTGTGGCTACCTACGCCTCTGACCATTCTGTCAATCGATTGGCCTGGGACTGAAGTCAGGCGCACCGGCCTGCGATTGCCAGGGTCCCCTCTGGAGCCTTTGTAAAAATCTCCACTCATCGGGAACAGAGGCTGATTTAAGCGAGAGGTTACACCCCACTGTTAGTAGTTCTGCAGTCTCAGATCTGAGTTCCCTCAGAACTTGTGCTTAAATACCATCTGTTCCTCAGGACTTCCTACTTCAGGTTGTTCTAAAATCTCCTCAACTGACACCTCAGTCTGGGACAGTTCCTCAGATCCGTCACCTAAACCGAATGGCTCAGATGTGAGAGTTTCCCTCCCGTCAATCTTCCGCAGTGAAGATTGATGCAAAGAATTCATGTCGCTTCTCTGCAATGGCCCTGGCTTCCTCGGGGGCTCCTTTAGCACCTCGATTGTCCAGGGGCCTCACTGATTGTTTGGCACCTTCCTGCAGCTGATGCACTTAACAAAAATGTTGCTGTTAGTTTTTATCTTTTGCTAGTTGCCCTTCAAATTCTTTTTTGGCCTAATTATACTTTTACACTTGACTTGCCTGAGTTCATGCTCCTTTCTATTTTCCTCTGTAGGATTTGACTTCCAGTTTTTAAAGGATGCCTTTTTGCCTCTAACTGCCTCTCCTACTGTTTTGTTTAGCCATGGTGGCATTTGTTGGTCTTTTCTTTTTAATTTGGAATATGCATTTAGTTTGAGCCTCTTTATGGTGTTTTTAAGACGTGTCCCTGCAGCTTGCAGGCATTTCACTCTTGTGACTGTTCCTGTTAATTTCCCTTTAACTGGCGCCTTCATTTTTGTGTAGTTCCCCTTTTTGAAGTCAAATGCGCCTGCGGTGGGTTTTTGGTATTTCCCCCCCGCAAGGATGTTCAATTTAATTATATCATGGTCGCTATTACTGAGCAGTTCAGCTACGTTCACCTCCTGGACCAGATCCTGTGCCCCACTCAGGACTAAATCCAGAATTGCCCCTCCCCCCTGCGGGGTCCAGGACGGGCGGCTCCAAGAAGCCGTCATTAATGGGGTTAGAAATTTTATCTCTGCATCCCGTCCTGAGGTGACGTTCCCAGTCCATACGGGGATAGTTGAAATCCCTCATTATTATCGAGTTTTCTATTTCTGTAGCCCTCTACTCTCCCTGGCATTTCACAATCACCGTCACCCTGCGGGTCAGGTGGTCGGCTGTACATCCCTACTGCTAGACCCTTATTATTCAAGCAGGGAATTTCTATCCAGAGAGGTTCTATGGTACCGTTAGAGGCAGTTAAGATTTTTGCTACATTTCACTCACTCACACACCACCACCCCCACCAGCACGACCTCGTCTGTCATTCCTGTACAGTTGGTTCCCTGGCATTCCCAGGTCCCATTGAGGGTCATTGTTCCATCAAGTGTCTATGACGCCTGTTACATCCGTATCCTCATTTAGTACCAGACACTCCGGTTCAACCAGCTTAGTACCTAGACTTCTTGTACTTGTACACAAGCACTAATAAAATGTGTCAATATTTTGGCGTCTGCCTTCACAGGATGTAACTGAACGGGACTGGTTTTCATTTGACTGTTTCTCTTCAGTTCCTACCAGTCCTCTATCAACGTCTATCCTCTCCTTCTTACCAGGAAATAGAGAATCCCCTTCAATAAATACTCCCCTAAGGGATGGCTCTGTCCGAACCGTGTGCTCCTCTGTGTCTGTCGGCTTCCCCCAGCCCTTCGGTCAAAAACTCCTCCACGACCTTTTTAATTTTCCAGGCCACCAATCTGGTTCCAGTTGGGTTTAGGTGGAGCCCATCCTGCCTCTGGAGGGTCCTCCTTTGCCAAGTTTCCCCAGTTCCTAATAACCTAAACCCCTCCTCCGAACACCATCTCACCCGCGCATCGAGACCCTGTGGCTCTGCCTGTCTGCCCGGCCCCGTGCATGGAGCTGGAAACATCACCAGATACCTGCTACCTGCCAGTTCTTAATCCTAGGGGTGACGTTCTGGGCAAAGCCCCACTGGTGCCTGTCCCACGACTGCAGGCTCATGGCTAGAGCCGGCAGCCATCTCCTGGGATCCCGGCACTCCATGGACACCTTGTGGCCTTTGACGTCACGCTCAGACCCATTTCGGACCCAAAGGGTTGACGCAGGGGCTGGCAGTAGGGAGGAGGAAGAAGGGGAGGGTGGAGTTACGCTAGGAGAAGTCAGAGATGTGGCTGGCAACCTAATGCATCATAAATCCCCTGGCTGCAACGCAGACTTCCTAGTCACTCCTTCTCTGTGCCTCCTTTCCCCAGGACAACACGGATACCAGCCCTGCTAGGGTTACCATACGTCCGGATTTTCCCGGACATGTCCGGCTTTTTGGGCTCCAAATCCCCATCCGGGGGGAAATCCCAAAAAGCTGGACATGTCCGGGAAAATCGGGACATGCGGGGCCAGCAGTGCTGGGCCGGGGGCCGGCGGTCGGCGGTGCCGGGGGCGCTGAGGGCCGGCAGTCGGCGGTGCCGGGGCCCAGGGGCCGGGCCGGGGGGTGCTGAGCGGGCCGGGGGTGCTGGGCTGGGCCCGGGGCCGGCACCCCAGGGCCCGAGCCGACCCAGGCTGGAAACGCCGGGGGGGCCAGAC